CTCGCAGGGCTGAGGCAGAAGGATCGCTGGAGTCCAGCAGGTCGAGGCTGCGGTGGCCAGGAGCAGCCACTGCACTCCAGCCTGGGCAACAGAGTGAGACTCCAACTCAAAAAAATAAAAGTAAAATTTTTTAAAATTTTGGTTTCCCAAGTCACTTCAACAATGGTGCTCTGAACATAGACTGTCTGTTAGGCCCGAATGAGTCCCCAGGGATGGACGAGACAGGCAGAGAGCACATGGCTGGTGTGAGAAGAAAGCCAGGGGGCCAGTCATCTACTCAACTCAGTAAGTGAGGAGAGGGCCAGCCGGAGGACCTCTGCCTGGTGGGAGGAAACCTGAACCCAGGCTCAGAGGGGTAATCGTAGCACCCAGCCACCCACACCATAGGCACCTGCCCCCCACTGTGCTTGCTCCATCCTGCACCCCATTGGGGAGGGTTATGAGCTCAAATGAGGGAAGACAATCCCACAGAGACTTGCCCAGGTGTGTCCTGGACCCTCCGGAAACAACAAAGCCAAAGGCACTCTTTATGTATGAATTTGGTTCGACCTTTCCCCTGTAGAGACCTTCCCAGGGCCTCTCCTCCTTGCTCTTGGCCCTCTCCACCTGGTGCCCAGGGCTTCCTCTTCTCTCTCTCTCAGAACCTCCAGGCCTGCTGAAGAGGGTCCAGTACCCAGGAGGCCGAGTGAGGCAGGAGTAAGCCCTGTGGGTAGAAGGAAGGGCCTTTGACAGGATGACTGGGCAACACAGTGGAAGGCCTCAGCCCAAGCCTTCCTCAGTGGAGTTCTTGGGTGGTGACAACCTGGCCATTTCCAGGAAGCTGTGAGCCCTGAACAGGGAGGGGCTTTGGGCAGGGGTGGGATGGGAAAGTCCAAGGAAACCAGAGCCCTGCAGGCTCTGGTCACGACTCAGCCAGTCCTGGGCCCTGGACTGTGCTCTCTGTCATCTCACAGATGTCTGCACATGGATGGGCCACAGATGTCTCTGGCTGAATGTGACCTCATCTGAACCCTTCCTCTCTTGCCTGGTCCCATCCAGGTGGACCCATGTCACTGTGGACTTTGCCTCCTCCCCCCTCATTCTTCATGCCTGCCTGACACTGGCCCATCATCTGCCCTCAATCTTGTCACCCTGGACTGTGATGAAGAACTCTTCTGTGGTCTCAAGAGAAATCTTCCCACAGGCCCTGGGGCCCCCACACTCCCCACATGGTCACAAGGAGGGTGAGCCTAGCCCCCCTCCTTCCCTCCCTTCCTTCACCAAGTACTGCCCACCAGGGGACTCTGGACTTACCCAATGGTCTTGCCCCAGTCACACCACAGCGTCTTCCCAACGGCCTCCATGTCCACCTGGAAAGGGATGAGGCAGAGTTCCCGGAGGAGGGTGCTGTAGTTGGCATTCTGACAGGCAGTGACGATGAAGAGGTGATGTGCTGCAACAGAGGCGCCAGGGCCTGTCACCACTGCTGGGTTCCCAATCTCCCCTCAGCCCAGGGCTCCACGAGGACAGAGTCTCTAGCAGTCCCTGGGGAGGGTATCTATGGCTCCAATTGGACTCTTCCTTCATTGATCATTTTGTGTCCCAGCAAAGGCCCTCCCTGTCTGCCAATGGTGACCCGATGACACCCTCTGTGCCCCGTACCATTGAAGGCCAGAGCACTTCTCATTCCAAGATCGTGATGGACATCAGCACTGGGCACTGGAACTCAGAATTTCATCCTCGCACCCACTCCTGACATGGTCTCCTAACACCTCCCTGATGTGGACACCAGCAAGAACAACTGGCTGGGACTGAACCAGGTCTGCTAGCCACCAAGTAGTGGCTGATGTACAATGCCACCAGGTGGCTCCATGAGTGAGGAGGAGGAGTCACTCCCCCCCTAGACAGGGGTGGCATGAGAGGGGCCTGGAGAGAGTCTCTGGGAGTCAGCTGGGAGTCAGGCTGCACGACCCAGCACCATGCATGTTTGAATATTTTCTGGTTATGAATGAGGCAAACCGAAACATGAGCATTACCCCACCCTCCTACCTTGATACATATATGAGATCAAAAATGATTTAAGTGGTGCACTGCATGAAATTAGCATTCACTCATTTCCCCAGAGCTCACTCTTGACTCTGGGGGATGCAGAGAGAGCTTTTTTTTTCTTCGTCCCCCATCCTCCACCAGGTCCTCTTCCTCCTCAGGTTGAAATTCCACTTTCTTGGCCTGTCTATGGAGCTGCTGG